AATCGCCCGACCCGACGGTGTTCGCCCGATTGGGCGCGACACCAAGTCTGGAGAAACTTAACCTCGCGCCCGATCGGGCGGCAGCTCGCCCGATCGGGCCCGCCTTTTTCCTAGGTCGGTTTGCTTACGTGTTTCTCTTTTTCAGGACTCATATAAATACGAGTTATACTTTTTCATGACATTTAATTCTCTTTCTAGCCGAAAACACAAACCTACCTTTTGAGATCTGAACAGTTCTTGAGAAATCCCACTCTTCGGGTTCGGGTGCACGAATTACGGGGAGAGTTGCGTTAAACTTGGGGGCGTGCGTCATCAGGAAACCTGTACCGGTGGTGGCGTAATTCGCTTCTAAGGCAGTGGATTTTGTTCCTCGACGCGACTGTGAGTTGAGATCTTCAATCAAGTATTTTTCCCTTTCCTCTTCTCTTTTTTTTTGTTATTGGAATCGACAGGTATTTTACCAACACCACACACCCATGTATGTCCTAATAAGGGGTTTACAATAGGGTCTGATTCAATTGCCATATCTCTTAATATACCAACTAATAATTGGGATTCAACTAAAAGTTGATAGCTAGAATGGCCGCCACACTCAAATTTCACACACCCTTCGTGTGTATATAGTTCTAGACTTCCCGTTATTTTGTATTAGGAAAGATTTGAACATGGTAGTTTTATAAATTAAACTATCACTAATGAATAGGGGTGAGCATAATAGGGTCGTACCCTGTAAAAATTCCGGGAATCGGAACCTGTTGTAACAGCCGGAATCGAAATCTGTTGAACAGGTTCTTGGAAATTGGGAACCGGAATCGGAACCTACAGGTTTCGGTTCCGTTTTAGGGTACCCTGTATTATAATATACTCATTAACTTTTTCGCGGATTTTTTTTTAATAAAATACTGGTTGGTCACTAATTTATATGTTTGCAACTTGCAAATAACACAGACTGATTGTAGTTGTCTAATAAATTTAATATATATTGTTATAATTGTAATTTTGATATTTATTATTTAAAAATTAAGTAAGAATTAGCGTATAATTTGAAATTAAGTGATACTTTTATGAGGTACAGGGCACCCTACAGGTTCCGGTTCCAAAAAATTAAAAACCTGAATCGAAACCTGTTACAACAGGTTCTCCAATTTGCTACCCGGAATCGGAACCTCTTGTACAGGTTTCGGTTCCGGATCCCGCAGTTCTTAACAGGTTCCGGTTCCGATTCCGGGTACCCTGTTTTTTGCTCACCCCATGAACAAGGCCAAGAACAAGAGGAAATTAAAGAGATAGAACTCGGTGAAATTTCTGAACAATCAGTAATCAATAAGGCCAAGAATATGGCGCCGGAGGAGAAAGGAAAAGGCGGGGAGCAGATCGATGACAATCAGGAAGAGGTCGAGAAGCCTGAACAAGATCTCTGGATTTCTGTTTTTTCCGGCTAGAAATCATCTGATCAGAATCAAGATTGACTGTTAGTCTGGTAATAATTCAGTTGAGTTAGTTAGTCTGTTAGTAAGTCAATTGAGTTAGTTTGTTAGTAAGTCAATTGAGTTAGTTTGTTAGTAAGTCAGCTGAGTGAGTTAGTATGAAGATTGAATGTTACATACGTTGAATTAGTATATTTGATCATCTATCTTTGTTTATCTTTCAAAAAAAAAAATCATTTATCTTTGCTGTTTTAATTAGTACATCTTTGATTAGGTTTATGAATAAATATGGGTGGTTTATGTTAGTAATAGGACTGATTTAGTACTCCCTCCTTTTCATAATGTTAGTCATAATTAGTACAACATTAAAGTACAACATAATTCATAATTAGTTTACCTTATTTAATTTTTTTGATTTTTTGTTAGGAAAGCACAAGTGATAATTTTGCATAATTTAAGGTGAAAATTTCCTTACTTAGGCCCTGTTTGATTCACCTTAATTTTGCTGAGCTGAAATTATTTTTACTAAACTGAACTTATTTTTACTGAACTGAACTTAATTTTACTGAACCGAAATTATTTTTACTGAACTTAAATTATTTTTACTAAACTGAAATTATTTTTTACTGATTTTCTATTATAATTCTTCGTTAAGAAAACTGAATTTTACTGAATTGAACTTATTTTTACTGAACTGAAATTATTTTTACTGAACTGAAATTAATTTTACTGAACTAAACTTATTTTTACTGAACTGAAATTATTTTTACTTAATATTATTTTTTTAAGGTGAAAAGAACAGAGCCTTAGAGTCATGTTATTAATACACAATCAATTAATTACAAAAAAAAATATCAAGTTATAAAAAAAATATATTCAATATGGTTAGATTTTTTTGAATCGCCCAAAATATTATATGCGACGACTAACATTATAGAACGGAGGGAGTAGTTTTTTCTGGATTCAAATGTAAGTGAATTAGACTATTTTGTACTTGTAGTAATAAAGACAATGCAATAATAACATATTTTGTAAGTTTTCAATTTTTATGATCTTGTAGAGTTTTTATAAAGTTCAATTTGTTCAACTATCTTGACATCTCTGTTTATTTTCGTCCATATATTGCTTCATTTAGCGTTTCATCAAAAGAGTCGCAATAAAAACTATAAATCACAATACAGTGTAAGTTTCTTGATCAATCTTGATAATTTTAACCAACAGATTAATTAATTTTGTTGGTAATTCTATTGGAGAAAGTGATTTGATCATTTAATTTCAATACTCAATTTTAGTTTACGTGCTAAGGAACAAAAATATGTTCAAGTAATTACTACTAAAAAAAGCAAAGAATTTAGTGCTTAATGGTTCGATTAAAACTAAAACTCGCTCGAGGCAGGGAACATATTCCTACAATATAGACTGATAACAACACTAGATTCATGTGATTATGGACAAATTGAGCATAAAAAAACAGAGTTTAGTAGTAGTTGTTTTTAATAATGAACTAGTTAAAAGAACATAAAAAAATAAAAATAAAGAAGAGAACAATAATAATAATAAATAAATAAAAAAAAGAATAGCAACTACTTCTTAGAGCAACTCCAATGGTTGCAGGTAAGGACTCACTTGCAATTTATAAAATTCCTTAGCTATTAGCTTAACCATTCGTATGGTTGTAGTTAAGGAGCACAAATTAGCTACAAAAGAGATTAGGTTATTATCTTATGTGGCATAACAAGCTAATTTGTTAATTAGCTTATCATTATAGTTGTTCTTAGACCTTCAGCAAGGTTCTGATGAGTCGTTAGTGAAGAAGAAAGCCAAGAAAATGGAAGAACGTTACGGGAGAGTATTAGCCGAAACTAGTTCTATTACTATGTTTGCAATCGTGTGCATTACCATTGAATTAATCCAAATTTTGAAATAATAATAATGCAATATGTTATCAATTCTACTACATTTTTAAATGCAAATTATTAAAAAAAATAAAATTAATTGATGATAAATGTATTAAATTTTAATTCATTGTAATAAACTATAAATAATTTAATATATTGTTACTAATTGGTGAACAAAAAAATTAACACCATTTGAAAAAAAAGGCGAAAACAATAAGGAAAGTCAGAATACATTTTTTTCAGGAGTTAAGCTAAAATACGATCCCTAAACTATACCATTAGTTGCACATTTGGTCCCTCATTTTTGAAATGAGGCAAATTAGTCCCTCTGCCACCCTTGGGTCACCATTTCTGGTGGAGGAAAATCTGAGTCAGCAAAGTTGAGGGATGTTTCTGCCAACTAAGCAAAAGTTTTGGGACTTCACTCGTTGATGAGTCAACATTAGTTTAAGGACTGCACTTCTTTTTTGCCAAAAGATTAGGGAGCTGCATGCTTACATTGACATTTTTAGTTGAAAAAAAATGGTAGTTTGAATTTCAGGGGATATGCATTTAATTCTGAAGGATTGTAACAGTAAAAAATAACCGAATTCCAAAATAGCTGACAAAAACTAGCCGTTGTTACACATAAAAGTGGTTATATATATTGTTGTTGGTAGCTATTAAAACCATCAGAACATTAAGCAAAAATTCATCCAAAGGAAAAAAAAAATACACTGCTGCAGTGAAGAAGGAAGCTCCTGCCAAGGTATCTGCAAAAAAAATATAGTAATTAAGGTAATTAGGAATTGATCAAAATTAGAATATTTAACCAATATTAATATATTTGTTGATAACAGGAAATGTCTAGACTTAGCAATGGATCAAGTGGAAGTGGTCCTGATTATAATGCTGAAACTAATAAAAGGGAATGCAAGTATTTGAAGTGGGTAGATGTGAAAGATCAGACTAATTGGCAAAAAGAAGTAATATTAGGACTAATGGAAAATAAAAGAAGGTTAATTGTTGATGTTGAGGAACACAAGAAAAGGATGAATGGGACAACTAAGTATGCAAGGAAGATGCAATCACATTACATGATGTTGAAACTGAAAAAAGACAAAGTTTCAGGTGGCTATAAGTATGAATTTTGGGGTGTAATTCTTGTAATAGCAGTAATTTGGTGTTGGTATTTGTTTAAGAAAGTAGGCAAGTAATGTAATCATATGTAGTGAAAGTAAAATCAGCAAGAAAAATTAAAACCAGCAAGTATGTAATGAAATGATAATTGATTAAATAAAGTTGTGGATTAACCTTAGGTTTTCTTCTTTGTTAGCTCCTGTCACTTTTCCTTTGCTAATCCTTGCAATGCTTGACTTGAAATTGTCTGTTGTGGTTGAGATGCATTCTCTGACTGTGATTGTGAGAGGGGATACTCTTGGGAGAAAGCATATAAGGTTTGTTCACCTTCATTATCAGAATAAAATGTTGTTTGTCTTTGTCTTTGTTGATTGCTTGGATGTATGCACAAATTAATAATATAGTTAAAAGTGCGTATATAAAAAATATGATGTAATGGGAATAAATAAATAGGGTAGTTGGTACTCACATTAGCAATTCTTTGGAATCCATTAGGGTAGGTGTAAATTCCCACTCCTCTGTTATGCATAGGGAATGTGTTGGGAGTTGACCTAGGTTATTTTTTGTTTAGATGATGATTAGATCCAACATTGCCATTTAATTCCCTGGGAGCATTCTTGCAGGTTGTTTTATTGTGTCCTTGAACTCCACATAAACTGCAATTCATTGCAACACCTAACTTCTTCGGTTTCACTTTTTCAGTCACTTCCCTAACACTTGGTTTTCTCTTTGTCTTAGGTCTGTGATTGACTTTTTTTAATGGAGGGGGGATGACTGTGTTCAGTGAAGTAGGCCACTCTTGTGGACCATTTAGGGGTTCAAGCAAAAACTGGTATGCATTTGCATAAGTTGATTTTCTGAAATATTCACTGACATACTCTTCAGGTTCATCAACCTTCTTCCAAATGGCAACTATGGCATGTTTATATGGAATGTCACTCATTTTCCAAGCATTGCAAGTGCAAGTCCTTTGTGCCAAGTTCACCACATACTTGCATTGTGTTGAACCATCCCTGACTCCATAGCTAAATCCCCCATCCCAAAAGACATTCCAACCTCTTGCCCACACCTTATGCTTTTCTAACTGCTGCTGAATTCTAGGGCAAAGTAGCTGTCCATCATCCTTGAGCATGTCTCTCTTAGCGTGTGACATCTCCATAAGACCCTCTCTTATGTCTTATAACATGGTTATGATTGGCTTGTATCTCACCTTGAGTATATAAGCATTGAAGACCTCGCTCATATTATTATCCACACTATCACATGAAGACATCGGTGAGTAGAAAGCCCTACACCACTTCTTGTAGTTCCTATTTAACAAATCACTAGCTGCATCCTAAGAAAGCTTTCTCATAGCATAAATTTGTTCAAGAAAACCATTTTCAGTTGTGCTCTTTTCTATGAACCAAAATTGTTTCCTTAACTCTAAGCCACCCCCAAACATACTCCTAAAATTGCAATAAACATGTCTTGCATATACCCTTGTTTCTTCTTGTGGAAACACCTCTTGCACAGGTGCAAGTAACCTTTTGTTGATCTAACATAAAAGTGTACCCAACACCTTCAACAGTCCCTAGGTCAGCAGCCAAAAGATTTAAGAACTAACTCCAAGTTTCAGTCTTTTCAACATCTACAATAGCCTAGGCAATAGGGAACATTTGATTATTCCCATCCCTACCAACTGCCACTAACAATTGTCCACCATAAGGTTCCTTCAGAAAACATCCATCTACGGAAATGAAAGGCCTGCAACCAACCATAAAGCCCTTCCTTAATGCCTCAAAGCATATGTAAATCCTGTCAAATACATTCCCATTCAATTTCAACTTCACAGTGTTGGCCCTATTGCTCTTAAGTATCTCCTCTGCATACCTGGGAAGTAATTCATATTGTTCCTTTTACTCCCCGATAATAATGGATTAGCCCCTCTTTGTAGCTCTGAAAGCCATGTACTTACTCACTCTAATACCCTAGTCTAACCATATTATCTCTATTATGTCATGTAGCCTCATATAAGGGTTGACCTTAAACTGATTTTGGTAGGTCTCACCACTCCATCTTGCTGACATCTTCTTCACTCTTGGAGATCTACCACACTTATGTTGACTGACAAGGGATTTGACAATGAAATGAGTTTTATTCCTATCCCAAGAAGCCCATATTATCCAAGGACACCCCTTATCTTTGTGCTCACATTCTGCCCCTACCCTTTGTTTGTCAATATTTTTGAAAGGTATGTTTCTGCCTAGCTTTATGGAATGATTTCTAACTGCCTGTTTGAAGGTAGTAAGGTTGTCAAATTGTTGAACATGGAAGAAGTCTTCTATGCACTCATCATCCTTAGCTTTTCTCACCTTCCTAACCTGATTATTGGGGGTGCAACTAAGTAACCACAGTCATCATCATCCTCTGACTCATTAGGGCTTTCAATGTCACTAAACTCCTCAAAATCCGTTCCTATCTCACCAAGACCTTTTGATGCAGCTACCTTCATAAGCATATCCAATTCCTCTTCATATGAATGTTCATTTTTTTTATTAATTGCAATTTCATCCCTAGCCTTCACAAACTCATCATCACCCTCAGTTGTTCCCTCTGTATCATAGTCTATGTTAAATTGGGTTGCCCTAGGAATTTAGATTGGTTGAAAGACATTTTCAATAACAGTGAAAGATTGTGTTGCCTTAGAAGTTAGGATAGGTTCATCATTAACCTCATAAACATTGAAATCTGTTAATAAGCTCATAAACTGCCCACTTCTCCCATGATTGAACAATGGTGTGGGTGGTGGGTCATGTTCAGTGTAAATGTGAATCAGTTTGTATTGAAGGAGAAGAGACAAGAAAGGATCACAAAGCCCACTTTCAAAGCTTAAGTACCTAATGTCACTATTCAAATCTTTCCTTGGATCCAAAAAGTGGAGCTTTACAATGTCATTATAACCTAACCCCTCTACTAATCCTTTCACATAATGCCTATCTATATTATCGGGAAGGTTATCAAAAAAAATTATGTTCCCACCTACATACAATGCATCAGAAGAAATTTTCCATTCACCACCATGATGTACAAACAAACATGATTTTAGATCCATTTCTGACAATAGTAAACAACACCAAAATTAACAACCCAAGCAAGCAATAACTGAACAAAGTCGATGAATAAATTTTTAATTTATTGCAACTCAAATTTAATAGTTGATTATAGCTCATCCACAAACCAAGGATTGAACTAGATAGCTGATTTTTCAATTATTTTAATGTATAACAAAAAAAAGGTAGCCTTACTACTTTATCATATACAATAGTAAACATATTTAATTAGAATTATTGAAATGATAATGGTGGATCATATCATGCATGATTTATTCTTGTCTTATTACAAACCTTAAAGAATAATTTAATAAGCATATACAGTAGTAAACAAAACTTTGATCACCTTCATTCGTTCTTAATTCATCAACAACTAGTATTGTCGATGATTTATTGCAACTTAAATTTGAAAACACAGAGCATAACCAAACCCTAACCTACCTGTAAAATCATTAGAACTCTGACCCATAAAAATTCAATTTACCAATCACAATTACACATAATACCACAAAGCATATTGGAACCAAAATCAACCAAAATAAGCACATATTCCAAAAAGCCCTAATTTTTTTCACAATAACATAGTAGGGTTTTATCATATAATTAAATGGAGATTAATTTTTAAGAAGACAGGATCGATGACCGTACCTTGAGTAGATGTGAGTTTCGCCATCTTCGCTCTCTTTTGCTCCGACGAATCACCAATTTTTCCAGCCAGACATCATAAACAATGGAGTAATTGAGTTTGAAGATGAAGTGTGGGTTTTTTTAGGTAACCTTCTAGAAGCCCCTAAACTATAATACTCGTATGTTATCATGAAATATTTTTTTTTCACAACGGTAAAATGATAGAAGGTCCCTAAACTTTACCCCTTCATTAATTAAATGCCAACTCATACCCACAAGGTCCTTAAACTTTGATTAATTTTATTGTTTGCCACATGGGCACTGTAGTCCCTAAACTATGTCGACTCATCATTTTTTTCACCAGAAAAGTCAGGTAAGGGTGGCGAGGGACCAATTTGCTTCATTAGAAAGATGAGGGACCAAAATGCAACAAATACTATTGTTGAGGGACCATATTTATACTTAACTCTTTTTCAGTATCGTCAATAAAAATAGAACTTTTCAGGGGAATTTGTGTTACACATTTTAAGCGATCAAATGTTACAAATGCTCTATATATACACCTTTAATTCCGAGAAAACAATTTGCCTCTTCATTTGCATAACTCAAAATTAAAACCTCCATCATTTCCTTAGAAAAACACGAAACCAATAAAAAATTAAGTGAATAAAAATGCAGAAAACAGAAGAAGTTAGTATGAATAAACTTGTTGCCTTCATCAATGCATAATTCTTCCTTACAGGAAAGGCATGTGTTAGAGATATGAGATATCGGAAAATATTATGTGATATATTTTCCGTAGATATTATTCAAAGAATAATATATATAGATACTTATGTTAAGATATTATTTTGAAAATATATCTTTAGGTTTATAGTTATGGTGGTATATCTTTTAGGAATATTGATTCCTATCTTATATTCGTAGGTTTTGTATAAATTCTCTACCTATTGATGAATAATAAACAAGCCATTCATTCTCTCTTCACCCTAATTTGTCATGGTATCAAGAGCAGGTTAAATCTTGGGACCGCTCACAAAAATTTCCCCCTGCCGGTGGGTTAGAAAGTTAAACCTACTGGTGGGATTCAAAATTTTGCTTCCGCTATGCAATATTAATACTCATTAAAAAAAAATTATTTTTGGGTTGGTACACGTATCATATATGTGTATGTGAATATTTTTTTGGGAGTATGTGAGTGGACTTCCTCCACTATAATGAATCTTTGGAGATGAAGAAATTAAATAGCGTTATGCTTGACGAAATATTTTTTTTTAAAAAAATCGGCACTTTTGTGTCGTAAGACAAGATATATTTGGTTTTCGTTGTGCCGTGAGACAAGGTTTGTGAGTTGATTCGAGCATAATTTTTCTCCTTTGGATATGAGCGTGGTTTACTCTGAAAAACCAATAAGAGATTTGAGTGTGGCTTACTCTAAAAGACCAAGATTTGAGTGTGGTTTACTCTGAAAGACCAATAAGAATATTGAGTGTGCTTTACTCTAACAAACCAATATTTGATTGGAGCTCGGTTTTGCTCTGGAAAAAGCAAAATTATTATATTTGCAGGTTCGAAAAAGCAAAATGAACGTTCTCATCATTGAAAAAGAAGAAAAAAATTAAAGGCGACATTACAAGAGTGTGCATCTCGGCTTTAACAAAGTGAAGAATTTCCAATCGCAACGTTCATGTACCGCCGTTACGATTGCGGGAGGGTGTTAGAGATATGAGATATCGAAAAATATTGTGCGATATATTTTCCGTAGATATTATTCAAAGAATAATATATATAGATACTTATGTTCAGAAATTATTTTGAAAATATATCTTTAGGTTTATGGTTATGGTGATATATCTTTTAGGAATATTGTTTCTTATCTTATGTTCGTAGGTTTATATAAATACTCTACATATTGATGAATAATAAATAAACCATTCATGCTCTCTTCACCCTAATTTGTCAGCATGCATCGAAGATAAAGCCTATTTCTGCTTTACGTGTGGCAGCGATTCATTCAAGAAAGATGATGTAAAAACACATCACAAAGGTCACAAAGTAATTCGAGCAATTAAATATAGGGGTGATTTGTGTTACAAAAAGAAAGAAATGCAGAGTACAGTGAAGGATGTTTTTGAAGATTCTGGGATACAGGTTTTTCGCTATTTTGGTAAGAAGGATGTGTGTTTCATTAAACCAAAAGCATGTAAAAGACCAAGAAAAAGTAAGGGTTGTTTAACTTGTGGAATTGACATCAAGAATGCTGCATTGTACTGCTCCATTTCCTGCAAAGTACACTGGTTGAAGGAGGAGGAGGAAAGTCTCGGGCCTGAGGCGAAAAACAAGAGGATGGAGATAGGACTCGGTGGAGGTTCTGAACATTTAGTGACGAAGAAGGTAAAGCAAAATGCTGCAGTACGCTAAGAAAGTGGCGGCG